AGGAGACTGGCTTTACAGACTAGGTCAGCAGTGTAGAGTGTTTGAATGTTGAGTGGCAGAATTCTGTATCAGTTTTCAGTTTTTACGTGAACTTTAACCTCATTTCTGTAGGAGTTGGACCTGCTTATGACCGTGTTGGTACCAGAGACAGCATCATGATCCGTGTCCCAGACCACACCGTGACCTGCCACCTATGTGACATCACTGGACCCCTGGCCATAACATCAGCCAATCCCAGTGGAGAATCAGACAGCACCCACCACAGCATGGTCATTAAGTAAGAGTCTCCTCAAAGAAGTTTAATGCAAACTAACAAACAACACATCTCTAACACTTTTAGCACCATACACTAATTACTGTTTCAAACTGCTTCTTTTGCTGCAGTCGACTGGGACACAAGATCCAAGGAGTACTTTGTGATGGTGACTCGAATGAAGTAGTTGCTTCAACTGTGGTCAACTGCCTGAGGATTGATGAAGGTAAGGGGCCATGATTTCTTCCTACTGGGGCTGTTTAAGGTCAAGTTTCTAACTGAAGCTCTTCTAACCTTCGTTCAGGAGTCATCACCATTGTGAGAGAAGGCTGTGTCCCTGCTATCAAAGTCCAACAGATCTTTGACAGACTGAAGAACTCCATGATTTGAGTGTCTCTTAGCGAAGACTGTCTACCTGGCTGATCATGTTCAAGTCAACTTGTCTAACCCAAGCTGTGCTTTGCTTTTCATACTGACAAACAGCAAAAGAGGGAAAAGAAAACTAAAGATGTGTGTTTATATGAATGTAACTTTTGTGTCTTAGTGGATGCATAGATAGATGGCTAATTCAAAAGTCATCTTAAACTGCATGAACCCCATAATGCTTTGGACTATTTATATATTTATTGTTATATTTATTGTCAATATATATCAACACAAACACTTTGAATATGTAAATAAATAGTTATGCTTTTTAATTTATGATGTTTGAACTCATTGTAAAACAGAATGTCTTTGTGTGGTTTCTGCATTGAAGCGCTCTCATGCATTAATTAATTTTTGCAATAAAAATAACTAAAGTGTATTAAGGCTTGCATCTTTAAATAATTACTAAATGTTTTCTAGATGAATGCATTCTCTCCCTCAATACATCTTTATTCAGATCTTCAGATAAAACAATAGTAACAATGGTGTTTAAAAGCTTGACATAAATAGATATATTTTTGAACAATTACTAATTAAGCACTTGAAAGCATCTAGTTATTTGTCAGAGGTCATTAGCAGCTCAAGAACTCTGAAACGATTCAACCATCTACTTTATTATGAGCTATTTAAAGATGGGGATCCCTCGTTTAATCAATATATTTGCAGTGGTCTCTAGTAGTAATGAAGGCCTTGTAAGTCGTACTCTGGGGTAGAGCCCTGCACGGGCCTAAAATCTGAGCCCGTGTCCCGCACGGCCCGAGGGGGTGGAGCCCCAGCCCGACCCGGCCCGAAAAGGTTTTCAGGATTCTCTGGCCCGACCCGAGCCCAAGCCCGACTTTTTTTAACCAACTAAATGAAAACAAAGTGTGTCAATCCTGACCAATGTGTTAAAAGACGTGCAGGATCCGATCAATTTGTTTTTCCCTCGTTTACCGTCACGGAGATAACGGCGCACTGGCTCTGGTGTTAATCAAGTTAAATTTTATCTCTGTCCAACAATTTTTACAAGAAAACAAAACAGTCAAAAGCAGGGCTTGTGTTGACCGGATAGTTCCCGTATTTGATGGTTTATTTTGATGGAGAAAGGACAGAAAGAATTACCCCGACGCATGCAGACGAACTGACATTTTATTCGTTACACACATCGCAGATGTAGCTAAGTCACCCAAGAAAAGATTCCCATCTGAACATCTGAGCTGCTCAGCGCAGCTCGCTGTCAGCGCATATGTGCACAGCGAGCTGACGTTGTGGAGATTGGCTTGGAGCGCGTTGCAGAACCAGAGCGCATGCGGGAAGGTTCCTCCCACTGAAGCGAGTGTTTTCCAAACCCTGTCGCTCAGAGAGACTTGTCACTTAGAAAATGTTCCCTGATTATGAAACTTTGGCCGAACAGTGCTTGTTCCTGTCTCCAATGTGGCGACGCATCCAGGAGCCGTCTGAGGAGAAGCCCAGAATCTCACATCTTCAGCTCAGACAGCGCATATGATTACGTACAAGCGGGACCCATAACCCGGTCTCACAGTAAGACTGGGTTGGACCTGTTCAGGTTTACGCAGACAGTCTTTATATAGAATTGACTTACAGATATAAAATTAATTCAGTAAAATATAAAGCATTTTATTTAAATATCCATTCATTATGTTACAAGCACAGAGAGCCGCATCAGATGGATGGAAGAACCGCGGGTTGTGACATGTTTTCTCCAGGACCAGAGAGGACGCAAACTCAATACATCTCTTTTATTGTGAGGTAATAATTTCTCAGAGTTTTGCGGTTGCGGGCGGGAGTGTGACCCTGGGTTTCCACAGGAGCCGTCAGCAGCACGTCTTGCTCGCATAAGCTGCTACTTGGCCCTTCCCACGAGACTTGAAGCAGCAGGGGAGCAGCTGTCACCGACCGAGCACAAAGTCACACGAGTGACTTCGTCAGTAAACACAACAACAAGCAGGAGAAAACTACAACATGGTTTGTGTTTTATGTTCTGTCCGTTTTATAATCGCCAATACGGACCTGAATAACAAAGGAGACCGCTAGCTAGGTGATAACTTCTCACGGGGCAGCACAGTTAGTAACCTTTTTTAAAAGTAAAGCAACCGGAAGGCAGTACGTTCTTTATTCTGAAAATCTCGGGACCTTCTCTCCATTTCTGCGTCCCATTTCCTGTCTTTCCTTCCCCAAAAATGTCGAACTTGACCCGTTTCAGAGGCGTCGCGCGTAGAAAATAGAACCGGCGCGTAAAGGCCGCGACATGCTGCTCCTGAGACGCGGCCGACTCGCGCTGCTGACGGCTCCAGTGGAAAAGGTTCTGTTAACCACAGCGGTTCCTATCAGCAGCTATGACGTGCTGCTGACGGCTCCTGTGGAAAGCCGGGGTAACACACACGTTGCAGTTGCGGGCAGTAATGGTCAGAAATTCAGCAGGAGCAGGCAGGAGCGGGATGAAGAAAACAGTCCCGCGCAGGGCTCTACTACTGCGTTTAAGTGTTTAAATTTTTTTTAATGAATTCGATTAAAAATAAAGGCGCCCGGCCCGTGTCCGAGGTAATTACACAGTCGTTGGCCCAAAGCCCGGCCCTCGGGCCTTCGGGCCGGGCCGACCCGAGGGCCTAGGGCTTCAGTGCAGGGCTCTAGTCTAGTCGGGACTTTTTAAAGGGAACACTTTGCTTCTACAAACTGAATAAACCCAACATAAAGCATATAATCACACATGTAAAGTTCATCTAAATCCATTCAACAGTCAAGCTGCAGAATCTCTGCCATTTGCCCTGTTTTTCTCCGTGCCTTCTTCGTTGATGTCACTTTCACAAAGCGCATTTATAGTCCTGGACTTATTACACAAAACTTAAAATAACGTTTCCTCCCTTTCGAAAATAAACACGTTCTTGGTATTAAAATGCATCTTCATGGACATCATATGTGAAATCCATGGCACACAACAATCGGAATTAGAAAATAGCATTTTTAGCCCCGTTGACTTGCATTCATTTTTTTGGTCTTCCGGGAACCCGTGGTCCGGAAGTAGATGGGCATGACTTTGGCTCCCTATGGAGCGCTGTCTGTCAACTATGACAGAATGTGGAATCTTGCGTTACCATAGTTACAGCTCAGGTGCATCGTTTAAAATGCTTTATTATTAAGGCTAGAACCTTTCAGACTTCAGTATAAGTTCCATCTCGAGAGAGTAGGACCTTTTCTCTGCAGTCTCTGTGTTTGCTGACTGGTCTTCCAGAGAGCAGCTCTAGCAGGTAATAAAACTACCCACAAACAAACCTAGCCCAACATCTGACGTGTTTAGACTTTTAGATTTATCTGAAGTGTTTCCTGTGCTTTACTGGGAGACATTAACATCCCTCAAGGTAAACTGGTTTTATCATTTATATAAAATAAACCTGCTGGAAAAAAAATCAAACAAAAACCCCTTAAGCAGGTCAGATTACAGATAAACAGTCAAGATAAAACTACTTTGAATCTGAAATATGAGTTATGAACGTATATTTCTATAACTAGACCTACGTGCTATCTGCCGTGTACAGTAGTGGTGTCTGGAGAAGGGACTGATCTTTATTTCGGCACCAGTTTGACAGAAATATAGATAAATGCCACTTTACATCAGTGAATAAGTTATAACTTTAATAACATTAAGTGAGCAAACAATTTAGACTTGTTTACATTTAAAAATGGATCCATCAGCTAATAGAAGAGTCATTTGGCTTGATTTAGCAAACAGAAAGGTCAAGAGGCTCAACTGCAGGTTATCTTTATGTACGTATTTAACTTCTAAGTAACTTATAGTTTTTGTCACATTGCTCTTTGATTAAACACTACCAGGAAAGCTGAAATCTCTCTTTATATTTATAACCTTTACTGCTATATGAGCATCAAGACCAAAGAAAAATTTATTTGATGTCAAACAGTTTGTTTTTTGTCTGATGAGGATTGTTTCATCTTCTTTAAGTTCTGATATCTTTTTATTAAATATATTTCTAAGTCATCAAACATCTGGTCTCTGATCCGATCATTCTTATGCATATGAGGCACACCTGATGATGGCTACTTTTATGTTAAATCACGTTTAGAGGGACAGGATGACAGAATTTAAAATGCAAACAAAAATAAATCTTTTAAAAAGTAATGAAGTTATTGAATATAATATAACATGTCAAGCTTTTCTTTGTTTGTACTTTACTTATTTTCTTCAGGTCTACTTTTCACTTTTACTTCACTAATTTTTAAAGCCACTATCTGCACTTCCTACTTCACTACAATAGGAAGCCTACGACTCCTCCCTTTCCGGTCAGCTCATGGGTCCCCGGAAGAAGGAAATGCAAGTCAACGGAGCTAAAACTCTATTTTCTAATCCACTTTGCCTTACGTCCTGGATCGCACATATGTTGTACTTCAATTTAAATGACATCCAACGATGCGTGTTTCAATCATCCCAGTCACGTACTTAGAAATGTATCATCTTGTAAATGTTCGATGTTAGCGTGACTACAAATCCGACATCGACATGTTGCATATATGACGCCACTACAGAATCTCTGCCATTTGCCCTGTTTTTCTCCGTGCCTGCTTCGTTGATGTCACTTTCACAAAGCGCATTTGTAGTCCTGGACTTATTACACAAAACTTAAAATAACGTTTCCTCCCTTTCGAAAATAAACACGTTCTTGGTATTAAAATGCATCTTCATGGACATCATATGTGAAATCCATGGCACACAACAAGCAGAATTAGAAACTAGCATTTTTAGCCCCGTTGACTTGCATTCATTTTTTTGGTCTTCCGGGAACCCGTGGTCCGGAAGTAGATGGGCATGACTTTGGCTCCCTATGGAGCGCTGTCTGTCACCTATGACAGAATGTGGAATCTTGCGTTACCATAGTTACAGCTCAGGTGCATCGTTTAAAATGCTTTATTATTAAGGCTAGAACCTTTCAGACTTCAGTATAAGTTCCATCTCGAGAGAGTAGGACCTTTTCTCTGCGGTCTCTGTGTTTGCTGACTGGTCTTCCAGAGAGCAGCTCTAGCAGGTAATAAAACTACCCACAAACAAACCTAACCCAACATCTGACATGTTTAGACTTTTAGATGTATCTGAAGTGTTTCCTGTGCTTTACTGGGAGACTTTAACATCCCTTAAGGGAAACTGGTTTTATCATTTATATAAAATACACCTGCTGGAAAAAACAAAATAAACAAAAACCCCTTAAGAAGGTCAGATTTCAGATAAACAGTCAAGATAAAACTACTTTGAATCTGAAATATGAGTTATAAACGTACATTTCTATAAACTACACCTACATGCTATCTGCCGTGTACAGTAGTGGTGTCTGGTGAAGGGACTGATCTTTATTTCTGCACCAGTTTGTCAGAAATAGAAATAAATGCCACTTTTCATCAGTGAATAAGTTATAACTTTAATAACATTAAGTGAGCAATCTATTTAGACTTGTTTACATTCAAAAATGGATCTAGTGTTGATCGAGTTCCTGATTAAAAAGAGCAAAGGCTACTGAATAAACCACATAGAGTAGAATAAAGTGATTTCTCCAGCTGAGCTTTTATAATCTAGATCTACACGCGGTGGCTTCTGGTCGCTGTGGTGATGCTGACTCAGCTGGGATCGGTGGCTGTTTCGTTCACATCCGACCTAAAACTGAGCAGAAGGATGTGAACAGAAATCCTTTTTGTTTCCATCTCCGTTTGATCCTAAAAGTGTGTTTCTGAACGAGCCGGATAAGAAAACGAAGCACAGCCTGATGTAAACAACACAACTGAAAGTTTCTCTTCATAGATCTGAAACCTGCTGAGACAATAACATAAAGTATCTCCAGTGAGACTGCGTTCGGTTTAAAACATGGAGAATAAACTAAATTCACAACTGAAATCCAAACGTTTCACTTAGTGAAGTAAAACACAACAATAATCTTCAGAAACGTGTGTTTAAACAGAGTGCTGGAGATGAAATGGTTCACATGTAACTGCTGTTGCTTCGGTCGCTGTGATAAACATGGATCTGACTGTAGAAACTGATCAGAGATCAGTTTGTTACCAGTAACAGTGGATGTGATGTTTCCTGTTTGATGTCTCTGATGCCATGATGTCTGAAGTCTTGTTACGGGTTTTAAAGCTTCTTCTTCTCATCCTGTGTCACAGAACGATGGAGGACAACATGAACCTCCTGGAGAGTTTTGAGAGGGACATAGGGGACTTCTCCCTTCTGGACGAGATCCTTCAGGACTACCAGGCCTTTCCTTTTTCTCCTCCACCTTCTCCTCTTCTTGAACATCCTCCCTCACCTCTTCTTCCTTCTATTTCTCCTCCACCTTCTCCTCTTCTTCGACATTCTCCCTCACCTTTCCTTCCTTCTTTTCCTCCTGCTTCACCTCCCCCTCCTCCATCTCCTTTTTTAGCTCCTCCACTTTCTCCTACTGCTTTTCTTTACCTCCCACCCTCTCCTCCTGTTGTTTCTTCTCTGCCTTCACCTCATACTTCCACTGTTTCTTCTCTGCCACCATCCATTCTTCTTCCTGGCATTCCACCTGCTGCTCCTGTTTCTCCTCCTCATACTCCCACTGTCTCTTCTCTGCCACCATCCTTTCTTCTTCCTGGCATTCTACCTGCTGCTCCTGATTCTCCCCCTCATACTCCCACTGTCTCTTCTCTGCCACCATCCTTTCTTCTTCCTGGCATTCCACCTGCTGCTCCTGATTCTCCCCCTCATACTTCCACTGTCTCTTCTCTGCCACCATCCTTTCTTCTTCCTGGCATTCCACCTGCTGCTCCTGTTTCTGCTCCTCATACTCCCACTGTCTCTTCTCTTCCACCATCCTTTCTTCTTCCTGGCATTCCACCTGCTGCTCCTGTTTCTGCTCCTCATACTCCCACTGTCTCTTCTCTTCCACCATCCTTTCTTCTTCCTGGCATTCCACCTGCTGCTCCTGTTTCTGCTCCTCATACTTCCACTGTCTCTTCTCTTCCACCATTCTTTCTTCTTCCTGGCATTCCACCTGCTGCTCCTGGTTGTGCTCCAGTCTCTAACCCAAAGTAAGTTTTGACTTGACCATTTCAGAATAAAATATCTATAAAGTTTACCACATTTCCAGGATGTAGATGCTGACAGGTGTGTGTTGTGTTTTGTCTCTACAGAAAGAGAAAGCGTGAGCACCAGCAGCAGGACCGCCCCTATGTGAAGAAGCCACTAAATGCCTTCATGATCTTCCTGCGGGACCAGAGGCCAAAGGTGGTGGCTAAGCTGAATCCGAAAGACAGCGCTGCTGTCAACGCCGTCGTAGGCCAGAGGGTAAGTGCGTTTGCGACAGAAAGATGATGGTTTTGCTTCCGTGGATTATTGTTCACCAACAGCTTGTCTCACTGTCTTTTGTTCACAGTGGAGGGAACTGTCTCCTGAGCAGAGGAGCATCTACTTCGACCAGGCTCACGAGGAACAGAGGCTCCACAAGCAGCAGCACCCGGGCTGGGTCCCCAACTACAACCCTGTAAGTACACTCTGCTCAGACACCATGAACTCACACACCTGGTGCTGATGAACACTTACTGATATAAAGCTCGTGTGTGTGTTTTTGGGACCAGAAGGCAAAACGCGTTAAGAAGGAGCCGGCCGCCAGCTCTGCAGGTAAGAAACATTTCTGTGGATCATTAGATGTGATGATGTCACCACAGCTTGACTGTTGAATGGATTTAGATGAACTTTACATGTGTGTTTATATGCTTTATGTTGGGGTTATTCAGGTTGTTGAAGCTAAGTGTTTCCTTTAAAAAGTCCCAGAACTGATGGTATTTTTATCTTTCTGTGGCAGCATCCAGCAGCCCAGGGGGGAGCAGCCGCAGCCAGTGACCAACATCTGGAATATCTTTTTATATATCCTTTGTTGTGTTCACTTTTCTAGGGTTTTACTGTTTGTAAACCCACATTCAGACCAATGACCACACACACACACACACACATGCTGACACTCACACGCATTGCACACACACATGCACACACACACACACATCACGCACGCATGCACACACGCACACACACCGCGCACGTACACACGCGCACACATTGCACACACGGACACATGCACACACATTGCACACACGGACACATGCACACATCGCGGGCATACACACACACACACACACACACACACACACACACACACACACACACACACACACACACACACACACACACACAGATAAGCACTAATACTTTGTGGGACAGGGTTTGGAACTAGGGTGAGGGTGGGATGGGTGAGGTTGTCAACCAGCAGCCTCGCCCTTCAACCACCTGCTCTGACCTTTGACCTGTGCTCTTAGTTTTTGCACCACAGACACATCACTTTTTTTTTCTTTTTCTGGAGGGTGGGGACAATGGTAAGTTGGGAATCTGCTATCTGCAACTAGTAGGATTCCCCTGTCAGGACACCACCTCCCCTTTCTTATTGCATGCACACGCACACACACACATCACACATGCACGCATGCACACACGCACACACATCAAGCATGCATACACACATCACACACACACACATCACACACACAAACACACACACACACACACACACACACACACACACACACACACACACACACACACACACACACACACACACATTTTAGTAAATTAACTCAATCTGTTATTTGTGGCTTTTTTCATTCCAGACTGGACCCTTGGACACCTGGCACACTGGACACCTGGGGCCTTGGACCCTCAGATGCCTGGAACACTGGACACCTGGACACCCGGACCCCACGACACCTGGCACACTGGACACTTGAACCCTGGACACCTGGGACCTTGGAGCCTCAGATGCCTGGCACACTGGACACCTGGTCACCCGGACCCCACGACACCTGGCACACTGGACACCTGGAACCCTGGACACCTGGGACCTTGGACCCTCAGATGCCTGGAACACTGGACACTGACACTTTGACACCTGGACCCTACGACACCTGGGTCCTTGGGTCGTCAGACACTGGACACATGCACAAACACCTTTTAATAAACCTTTTAAATGTTTTATCTTTGCTCAGTTTTTTTGTTTTCTACACTTCAGCTCATAGTCAAACCTGGTAATGGACTTGGTAATGAACTTGGTTTGAGTTAAAATTGTCACGATGGGGAGCCAAGAGGAGGTTGGGACCCAAAGATGCAGAGAACCAGATGACGCTTAGTGGAGCAATGAAGTAAAAATCATTTTACTAATGATCAGTCCAAAAAGGCAGGGAGCCAAGGCACAAAATCAAAGTCCCAAAATACAAAACCTAGAATCCAAAATGAAGATCCAAGACTAAAGAGGGAAACGAGACAAAGGTGACAAATACAAAGGCCCAGCCACAGATAGAGACGCAGACAGGGTTATATACACTGGGGCATGATGGGAGACAGATAGGCTGCAGGTGTGTGGGGAGAGAAACCAAGTGAAAGCAATCAGGGAAGAAACTAACATGACCTAAGAGTTAAAACCTAAAGACAAGAAAAGCAGCAAAAATAACTAATATTCTAAGGGGGAAGGACATCTACAAAAACCTGTGGGAAAACACACTAAAGAGACTAATAAAATGAAAAGCTGAACCTAAAAAAAACTGCAGAGGGGTGACTGGGGGAGACCAAAGGAACACAGGACCTGGGAGGGATCATCTGGAGGGCTGAAGACCAGGGGACACATGAGGAACACAAAGAGACACATAAGGGGATCCTTAGAGGGGAATGGAGCAAATGACGTCAAAGTAGTTGATTGGCTGAACATGAACCTTACGGAATTACGTAATCATGTTACGTTGTTATCACGTTACATTGGTCCAGGCAAATCTTTCTGTTGGAAAGATGGACAACTTTTACAAAGAAATCCATCATTACCTCTTTGAAAATACACTTTTAGCATAGAGCTGCATGTATATTGGGGCTGAACAATTAACTGCATGTGCAATTAAATTGCGATGTGACAAAAGGAGGTTTTCTAATCGCAAAGTCTGCAATTTGGCAGCGAGTGGTTAGCGCAATGCTAATATACATGGAAAAACCCTTAGGAATGCTAATGCTAAAATCGACGATTACATTATTACAAATTATGAATTAGAAACGTGCCAAATGATTACATTTGGAGTCTAATAGAAAGTAAAACTACCATCAATCAAATAAGTACAGACAGGTATTTTAGTAAAGCCAGAAAACTTTTAACTCCAGAGTTTTGGCTGGCAGCTATGAGCGTAACTGAACTACGCATGGACAAGACGTCAAAAACTAAACACAAAACACTTCGATAAACGGGACACACTTCTTTCCTCCAAATATAATTTCACTGGTGTTGCTAATACTTATTATCCTTCAAGGGATGTGCTCAAAGAGGAGTTCAACATTATGAATAAAATATAGTGTTTTATTTTACTAATACCATTATAAACACAAACTTACGTCTTAAGAAACATTTTAATAATGAAACTGCTAAATTCTTTCCAACAGTATAGATGTGTAGTGTATTTTGTCCGAGTGGGTTTGCCGTACTTTGACGTCATCGGCAGTCGAAGGACTCCGAGCCGATCTTGCACCCGAGCAGATCTTGTACCGACAAAATGAGTAGCAAATGTACAAAATAAAAGATTGATTTTACAAAATAAAAAATACATGTACAAAATGAAATTTTCCTGTTACAAAACAAGAAATACAAGTACAAATTGAGAATTACAAGTTAGAAAACTAAAGTTACAAGTTACGAATCCAAAGTTACGTGTCATGAAACAGGTTGTTTGGTACAAGTTACATTGAATATTGTCCCAATCCTAGCTCCATACTGTGGTGCAACATCTTCGGCCTGCTCCTCTTCCTCTCCATCTCTGTCTCCATCATCACCATCTGTCTGGTGGCAGTGAGCAAAATCCTCCTGGTTGCAAAGAGAGCTGTTTTTGAGCGTGGTTTTTCTGAAGATGGACTTATTTTGCTCCTGATCTCAGCTTGAATGCTTTGCCTGACCAGCTTTGGTCCACTTTGGTCCGTCTACACATTTGTGCCTCAGGTGTGCACATGCAACTTCCATTGTACCAAAGGTCACCCCAACACCATTCTGTTGTTCCGCCAGTTTTTACTGCATGTGTTGGAGATTTCCCTTCAGTATTACAGTTTTTCTCAATTGTTTACACACATTTTCTGGTACTTGAGACACAATGACCACAACATGTAACCAATTCACCAACCCCCTTAACCAATTCTGCTAAACTACAAGCACAATTCCTGCTTTGCACTCAAATTGCAAATCTAAAACACAGTTTTTTCAAAACACTACACACAATTCTCTGCTGTTGGCACAATTTTCATGCAGAAAATATCTTGTTTTCACAAGAAACACACTGCTATTGAAATATACACACTGACTCATCACAAGGGCAAACACCTGTCACACTGTTTTACAATTAGCAATCAGAGCTTTAGCATAAAAGGGCAACAGTTGAGCTCCTCTGTTTTGGAGCAATGGATGCCAACATTGGAAACAGAGGCAGAGCCAGAGGAGTGAGAGTGAGAGTGAGAGGAGGACGGGGAGGATGAGGAAGACCAAGGACCGTAATCTCTGATGAGATCCGAGCCACTTTGGTTGATCATGTGGTCAACCATGGTCTTACAATGAGGGAGGCTGGGCAAAGAGCACAGCCAAATTTGAGCAGGTACACTGTAGCATCCATCATCCAGGCTTTCCGAAATAAGAATAGGTAAGAAATGTTCTCTCACTAGAAAATGGCAGTACTGCATGTCAATACAATCAGTATTCAATGAGTATAGTAGTAGTATTGCCTGTGGATGGTTTTGTTGGACAGTAAAATATACTGTAAAGTATGTTTCCAGTATTTAGGAAATGTATACCTACTTTGTATTCACATTATTTTACTATTTGTTTGGCAGAACTGAAAAATTACCAACACGAGAAGGTCGTCTTCTGTCACCTGAACAGAAAATTGAAATCCTCAACATGGTCCTAGAAAACAATGCCATAACATTACGGCAAATACAAAGAAAATGTATCGAAAACAACGACATGTTTCAAAATATTCATGGGGTCAGCCTATCAACTCTGGACCGTGTCTTGCGCAGAAATCATCTCAGGATGAAGCAGAGCTACAGGGTGCCATTTGAACGAAACTCAGAGTCAAAGAATTGC